TGAATGAAAGAGTAGTTGTTGCTGAGAAACATACTGCTTTTGAAGGTAGAAAAACATGACATGAGGTTTAAGTGGAATGGATGTTTGTGATACAATAAGGGCAAGATTAATGGGGATTTTACAAATCATTATGTTAAATGTGCCATATTGAGAATATGTAACACATACAAACCCAGATTGTGTCTGAAAACACATTTGTCATTCTCAGCACAAGTAGCATTTTATGGACAAGAAATAATAGGCAAATCCAAATGGCTAACCTATCGCACGATACTAAAATTTTGTGAAGAGGAATATAATATAAAATCGAGAAATGAACTGGTGGTGGCAGAGGGTATAGTTGTCAATGGTTCTCTTATTTATAGCTACTAGAAAGATTTAAAGTAGACAAAATAATTTATGGTTGTAAGAGTGAGTTTGAAATAGAATTGTGTACAAATAATGAACTGATAATTGCTAAAATAAAATTACTTTTATTGAAATTTGAAACAGAAGAAGAACAACTCATAAAGAACGTATGGTAAAGTTTTGAAATAATTGAAATTTATATTATTTATATTATGTATTATCTTAAAGAGGGTTTTTATAAAATGATGTGCCATTGGTAAATTTCACAGGGGAAATGCATAAAGGCAATTAACATTTATGCTGGAAATGTGAACAACAAGAAGGAACATTTTATCACATTTGGTAGACATGTAAAAAATGAGAAAATTCTAAATTCAAATACTTACATTAATTCAGAAGATTTTAAAAGATTAATTTACAATTAATAAAAGAGGATTTTCTTTTGGGATTGGACAAATAATTGGGGGGGAATCGTAGAATTTGCTTTTGTATATGATAACTGAAATGAGATTATTGTAAGACAAAGATGAAAAGGTTCAGTTTTATCCACAATGGAAGAATTATTACTAAAGATGATGGAGCTTACTGAGATGGCTAAATTGGCTTCTTTGATGAGAGAACTTCTGATTTAAAATTCCAAAGATTGGACAGAATAGGGCATAGAATAAATAAAGTTATTTTCTATCCATAGAGTAAATTTATAATTGTAGTGCTGTAACAAAGGTCTTTTAAAGAAGGAAGCTACTTCTTTGTATCACTTCTCATTCAAGAAGCTTCTTCAGTCACTTCTTTGTATCGTTTTTCTATTTTCCTTTCTCTTTCTTCCACATTTAACTTTCTCTTTGATTTCTTTCTTTTTCTTACTTCATGTTAGTTTGTATTGGTTTTTATCTTTCTTTTTTAAAAAGAAACTTTAATTATATACTGCAGTGAATTTCTACGTAAGACCCAAAAAATGTGTCAAGGGTTTTTCCAACACATCTTTATTGTAGCAGTGTGCATTTGTTACTTAGAGAATAATGCTAATACAGTTAGTCCTCAACTTAAAACAGTTCATTTTTTTAAATTTTTTTTTTTAAATTTGATTTATATGCCGCCCTTCTCCGGAGACTCAGGGCAGCTTACAATGCGTTAAGCAATAGCCTTCATACTTTTGTATATTTATACAAAGTCAGCTTATTGCCCCCACAAACTGGGTCCTCATTTAACCTACCTTAGAAAGGATGGAAGGCTGAGTCAACCTTGAGCCTGGTAAGATTTGAACCTGCAGAAATTGCAGGCAGCTGTGTTAATAACAGGGTGCATTAAACCACTGTACTACCAAGGCTCCAGTTCATTTAATGACTGTTTGAAGTTACAGTGGCACTGACCATTGCACCATCCCCATGATCAAGTGATCAAATTTCAGATGCTTGGCATCTCATATTTATGATGGTTGCAGTGTTCCAAGGTCAAGTAATCACGTTTTATATCCTTCCAACAAACAAAGTCAATGGGAAAGCCAGAATTGCTTAACAACTGTGTTACTAACTTAACAAACACAGTGATTCACTTAACAGCTGTAGCCCAGAAAGATTGCAAAATAGGGCAAAACATTCACTTTACTAATTTCTCACTTAGCAGCAGAAATTTTGGGTGCAATTTTCATCATAAGTCAAGGACTACCTGTACTTGTATAATTTTAAGAATTATACAAAATATTGTTGATCCTACTTAAATGTGTTTGTTTAACAACATTTCCAGATCATCGTAATTTTAAGATATCAATAATTATAAAAACAAAACCTTACAGCATATCTTTTATTCCATCAATAAACATCTCATCAACAGTAATAAATACTGTACAGAAAAAATGGTGCCAACATAAAATCAACTTCAAAGGCTTGATAAAAAAAATACTCTTGAGAATTTCCATAGGAATGATAGGGGGAAAAGGATGACTTTTAATACGGTTAGGCTTTGGTAATAACTTAGTTTTTTTTTAATTAAAATAATTTAAGGGCACATCAGTATAGGGTAAAGGAATGATTGGGTTTATACCATGATAAATTACAATATGGTTAGTTGTGGGAAGATTTATCCTCTGAACTCTTGAATGTCCCATTAAATACTTACTTTGGGTTCAGCAAGCATTTAGCAACACTCTTCAGAATCTATCATTTTAAGGGCTTCCTATATTTTTAAAAAATTAAACTGTTTCTTTGCAACCCAAAGAAAGCTAGATTGAAATTGTGAAGATTGGATTTTAAAAGTTTGCTTATGATCCCTTATCCCGCAACATTTATCTTATCCCTGCCAATAAATCTCAGTTGCAAATTCAAGCCCTTCCCATGTACAGTTTTTTTAAAATCTTTAAGATTTATTATAGCCACATGGATTCTTTCAGTTGTTGGCTCCAAGTCTCTCTTGCAGCATACACTCATACCCACTTGTCCAAATTTCTGCCTTTATGCCTGAATCTGGTTTTTATGTCACACTACCGTATCAAACAAGGACTTCCTTGCTGCAACCAACGCTCTCCTTCAGCCACCCCTTTGCCTCCAGGTGCATCTTGGCTCCCTTTCAGCTGCGGACTTCAGCCATAGTTTGTTTTGCAGCTGCAAATATCCTGAGTCAGCAGGAAAAATCCATGTTGGGTGCAGGGATAGTGGGAATTGGGAGCCAGCCAGGCAGTTGCATGTTAAGAGGGTTATTTAAATGACTGGAAAAGGAACTAGTTTATCTCCTGCAGAGAGTAATTTTTTTTGTTTTTTGGGGGGCCTTAATTTGAATTTGGATGCTCACCAAGACTAAGCTTTTGAACCTAATTTCAGCCTGGAATGTACAGAGAAGTGATAGGGATGTAGTTTTGTTTTCTGTAAAGAAGACAGGATCTGAACATGTACAGAGCACTTTTCCTTCAAAAAACAAAGAAGCAGAACAAACTGCACGCAGCTGGATGAACATATGTATCCTTGACACAATATAAAAGATTATTTAGGCAAATTGAAGATAGGAAACATTTTTTCAGCCATGAGTTGCACTTAGCTTATACCAAGTGCTGAGGAGATGAGGTCATGATGCCACTAAGAGTATTCCTTTTAGGATAAGTTGAAGGCCATATGGCATTTATTTTACCTTTAACACCCCATCCCCCACCCCACACAAAAGCACAGCTTTCATAAAAATGGAATTAAAAATGAAGGGAGCTGGGAGCACTTTGGGTGATGACCAGGATGTGTAACAGGATTACAAGTTGCCGTCGGTCACGAGTTGATAATCCTGACACGAAGGTTTGATTCGTACATTGCACTAAACCACAAAGTTGTTTGCATCCTGGGTGAAATCATTATGATTTCAAACTCTGATTAATGGCTTGGTATGTTTTGTAAATCAACCTATTAAATGATGATTAAAGAAACCATTATGAAATAAAACTTGGTTTAGCATAATGTGTGATCTATATCAGAGTCTAGTGATTTAAGATACTAATACCAGAGAATTGATTACAAGCTGAGTTAACTGCACTTATTTTCATACCATAGTCTTGTCTATGCTACAGGGACAATGGGCCGTTCCTATAGTCATTCTCAGTTCCTTTTGAGAATTTGAGGGAAATACTGACTTGATGATTGCAAGACTCAATTACAATCAAATACAAAATACATTGTGAAGATAGTGGAAAAGTAAATTTATTTCTTGGAGACTGTTGTATGTGTTGAATTGGTTTTGGATAAATTTCAATGGCTGGTTTGCAAAACACTTCCAACTAATATAAATGGACATTAGTTTGCAGTTCAGACTATAGTGTTAAGTCAGACATTGTCTTAGCAAGTTGAGTAAATCAGATCATCATATTAAGCCCTAATTTATTTTTTATATGGGTATAGCATGTTATATAAATACATTACTTTCATTCTTGAATTTATATATCCATCTCATCTCAACCTTGTGACCTCTAAAAAACTAGCTCTCAATCAAAATCTCATACATGCCTGATTCCATTAACATTCTAACCCTGATGCCTAAGCTTAAACCAGTTCTTTACAAAAGGCTAACAGGGTCAGGGCCATCCAGATTTCAAGGGGGATGCTGTTCCAAAGAACAAGCACCACAATAGAGAACTCTCATTTCCTGCATCTTTTTAGTTGGCATTGTTTCACAGAAGGGATATGGAGCATGCCCACCCTGTGAGATCTGGTAGAATAGACAAATTCCCATTCTGTGCCCATTATAATAATCAAATGATAAATTTTATCCTGCCTACTGTAAGACAATTCACTTTTTTCAGGGATCTTTGGAACTGCAAGTTATTACCCTCTCAACATCCTTCTTCTAAAAGGGAAAAGATTAAAATTGCCTAAATTCATTGAATCCAGCAATTAGCTCCTGAGTTCCTGAATATTATTATGTTTACAAGTTGAATTTAAGATTAAGCAGATTGTGTGAACTGTGCTAATATGTGTAGTCGGAGAATAATGACAAGCTGCATAGTTGACCTTTAAAAAATAACCAGATATATTGGTCTGCATCTTGAGGGACACTGTGGTTCCTGTTGTTCTAAAGAAAGACATTGTCTGGTAAAATGAGACTGATTGATATCAGTAAAATGAGGTGAAATGAGACTGATTGATATCTTTGTAGTAATCAGATGGTGATATTTTATTTTTCAGAAACCTTGGATGAAATAAGATAATTTGGAAATTTTAGTTTGGCATCCAGGCTAACTTCGCAGGTGAGTAAGCTCAGATACAGTATTAATGTAACTCATTCTGTGGCTTGTTCAACTTTAATTTAGCATGTTTGTGCTTTGTAAACCAAGTTTTTGTGCTTTGCAAACCAATAATCTGTTACTGTAGATGTTCTGTGTTCTAAATGATGTGTTATATCTGCATGGTGTCCGTTTCTTAGTCTGGTTTGCCTTATTGGGTTGACATCACTCATGCAAGTCTCAATGTGCTCCCTTTCCTCTTTTATCTCAATGAGAATTAAGGGTTGAGGGCTGTCCAAGGTGTTTTTATACATTATTTTCTATCTTGGCTTCTATCTTGTTAATCTCATCATTGCCTTGCTAACGGATTTTTCCTCTGCCCTTCAAGGCCACCTTCATCACATTAGGCTAATACAACCTTATACCACCAGTGTACCATCTAACTGGACCACCTTCCATAATTATCAACCAGAATGAATATTTTTTGAAAATTTTGAAGCTCTCACATTGGATGACCCACGACCATTCTTACTCTGCTACAAAATCATCAACAAAATCCTGTACTAAATCCTGGCCTGAGACCCAACTCAAATCAGTCTAGATCAGGGGTATCCAACTCAATTTCATTGAGGGCCAGATCAGCATTATGGTCACCCTCAAGGGGCCAGGCGGCATGGCTGGGTGGTCACGTGACTAGGTGGGTGTGGACAACTCAACCTGACTTGCTCAACATCGCTCCCGTTTGAGGGGCACCTGTGATAGGCCAGACAAGATCTTGAACTACAGTAGTTAACTCTCTGTTCTCTGTGAACTGAGGCCTTTTACCAGTTCTGGCCAAAGAGCATTTGCAAGATGACGAGATTTTTGGGCAGTGAAATCACTTTGCTCAAAGCCTCCGATTGAAAACACCTTTCACACTGTTCCAGTCTGAGCATGAAGAGCATTTAAAAGCTGATGGGATGTTTCAAGCAAGGTGATTTCCCTGCCCCAAAGTCTTGTCAGCTTGCAAATGCTTTTCATGCTAAGATTGGGACAGTACAAAAGCCATTTGCAAGCTGATGGAGGCTTGAAGGATTTTGCTGCTCCAAAGTCTTGCAAATGCTTTTCATGCCATCCCAATCTTCCTCCACGCTCAGGAAGGAATGAGGGCAGGGGGACAGATTAGCAGCACAGCCGCTGATTGTGGCTTTTCCATGCTGGCGAGGGGTGGTCCCAGTGAAGGACTGGGAGGCCAGACTGGCAAGCGGGGCATGGAGGTGCAGGCATGGCGCTGATCTACAACTTGGCATGGCCATCTGGGCCAGAACATGGTCAGTTTTAGATCAATCCATGCAGCTGCCCTGGAGTCAGCAAGATACCACCTCACTGCCTCAGCCCTAGCCTCTGGACATGCACACAGGCAGTGAGCACTGGCATCCTGGGTAAAAGGACGATGCTGAGAACAGAGTCAGCCTGTGGGGCAAGATGGTTCCCAGGGACGCAAGGCCCCACACATGCATGCCGCCATGCCCAAGAATGGAAAGCCACGGCCAGGCTTCTCGACTACAGACCCTGACCCAGGCGAAACAAGCGTGGGGCGCTCTGCACCTGCCCAGAGGCTCCCTCATCAGACGCCCAGACTGAAGTTCTGGTCCACTCACCCAAGAGCCGGGCTGGGGCGCAGCCCCCACAGCTCACCCACAGCTCACCTCTAACCCACGGCACCCTCCAGATGCGATGGCTTGCAGCCTTGCCCATGGATGCCCCTGGCCAAGCCCGTCTGCAAGTGCTGCCTCAGAGCACAGGGTGTGGGACAAGGATCCGGCAGCTTTTCCTCCACCTGCAGATCAGAAAACCCAGACCAACTTTGCCAGTGGAACTCCTTCCTGGTGGGTTCAAAGGACGTGGGAGCCCAAAGGCGCCGAGCATGAGCTTTCCAATGGGGGAGGAGGCTGTCCCAGTAAAAGGGAAGTGCTGCCAGTTTCTCCTCCTCCCCTCCTCCCTTTCTGAGCCTGGCTTCTCAGCCCTTGAGGCTTCTCTTTCACCTGGACCGTCCTAGCCCCTGGATGGAAAAACCAGTGATGGTGATGCAGTGTTGCCAAACTCTCCCCCTAGCCCATGTGGTTTGCCCTGGAAACAGCAAAGGACCAACCTGCATCACCTTGGCCCAGCAGAGGCCGACCAGGCACTGATCTACAACTTGTGGCAGCCATCTGGGCCAGAACATGGTCAGCTTTATATCTGTCCCGTGCAGCTGCCCTGGAGCCAGCGAGATAAGACCCCACTTCTTCAGCCCCACTCTCTGGGCATGTGCACAGAAGGCGGTGAGCCTGGCATCCTGGATGAAAGAGAAGAACTCAGAATGCAGTCAGCATGTGGGGCAAGATCGTCCCCAGAAACGCCAGGCCCCGCATGTGCTCACCGCCTCTGTGCATTGCCTAGGGGGCAGAATCGGGGTGGGGTGGCCCCTTGCTGACTCCAGGCCAGCCTCATGGATCTAAGGCTGACCACATTCTGGCCCGGATGGCTGCCACTGGGTTGTAGATCAACGCTCAGTCGGCCTGGGCTGGGATGAGGTGCTGCGGGCCAGTCCTCTGCTGTTTCCAGAGCAGCTCCGTGGGCCAGATCTAACCACATTGCAGGCCGGATCTTGGGTCTTGAGTTTGACACCCCTGGTCTTGGTAATCTTGAGTCTTCAATTTGACATCCCTGGTCTAGATAATCTGTTTCCTCCAGAGTTCTTGTCAGTTGTAGACCAATCACCCTTTCTCAACAACCTTCTCTGAAAAGGGAAGATTGGAGACTGGTTAGTATCTGTCAAAAACTGTTCGATCCATGAATGGACTCTTGAGTGTGTGTGGTGCACCACCCCCTCTTTCAATGCAGAAAGCATTATTCCCCCTTTCAGAGAGGCTAACAGCATGGTCTGGATTTAACTGTAGGTCACTTCCCTGGTCCTTTCACAATCTAAAAGGACCCAGATTCAGTAAATAGGTGACTGATCTGTCAGCATGGAGAACACTGTCTACTTCCTCAGCAGTCTTCGACTCAAATTCATTCCAAAATAATTGTGTCCATCATTCCCTTTGTATCAAATGATAATTTCAGGCTCTTCACTAAATAATTCTTGGCTGCCTTCAGGTATGATTTAATATATTGTTGTTTATATTAAATTATTTGTTGTCTGTTTTAAGTTTATTTTTTATTCAGTTGGAGGGATTCTGGGATCCACACAAAAGCTTTTTACAAGCTGCTTAACATAAACAATTATATTTTAAAAAATGTAAAATATAAACCCTTGAATTATTCTCTTTTAAAAAATGGAATCTATGGCATACTTTCAAAATTAAGTTCGAAAGTGAACAGGTTTTACTTAATTCCAGGAAAAATATTTTCCCAATAATACCTAACATGGAAAATAACATTGATGAAAGCACTGGGTCATAAGTGCAAATGAAACGATTTGCCCCATTTCGAATGACTTTTTTTGGGGGGTGGTGGTTTTGCACATAGTAACTACCCTGTTTCCGCCAAAATAAGACATCCCCTGATAATAAGCCCAATCAGGGCTTTTGAGCGCATGGCAATAAGGCCAAGCGCTTATTTCAGGGTTCAAAAAAATATAAGACAGGGTCTTATTTTCGGGGGAAACGGTAGTACATACCAGTAATGGCAAACCTTTTGGGCTTGCCATGTCAAACATTTGGGAAATGCCTAATTTGACTCTGCTGGTGTGTCATGTCAATAAAAACCAAAAAAAACAAAAGAGAAACAATTCTCTATCTCCTGTTACTCCATCTACGCTACCCTGGACACCATCACTCAGCAGTACCAAGGCTGGGCCTGAAATGGAGGCTTAGATCTTGACTTCAGCCTTAGCATCACAGCTGCCACTTAAAAAGCCTTCCTTGCGACATTCCTCAAGGTACATGAGCTTTGGGGAATGGCACAATTGTTCCCCATAGCAGAGCACTCCCCAGGATTTTTTGCATGCCACTTAGCCCCAGGGGATGTTCTCTTTCTGTTGACATGCCCTTATGGCCTACCTGAAACTACTCCTGGTCATACAAGGCCTTCTTTCTTGAAGTAACTTTGGAGAATGCTCTTCCATTGTCTCTGCAGCCTCCAAAAACTGTGTGAAAGCATGCCCGGTTCTTGTGTGAATTTCAGAGGCTGCAGAGGCTGCTTCAAGTTGCTTCTGCAGCCTCCAAAAATCACACAAGAAGTGTGCTTTTGAGAATTATTGTCAGATGTTGGTGAATACTGGTGTGACATCCAAAATGTCATGGTATGTCACCTTTGACACCTGTCATAGGTTTATTGTAACAGATTATTCAATACTAGATATTCTTGAGTTGTTCTTATTGAGGTCCATCCTTAATTGTACCAAATATAAAGAATATAATGGACAGCAATAGTGATTATCCTATTAAAGTACAGGAAAAGGAGTTAATTAAGTGAATTGTTGAAATAACAATTAAAAAAACCTATTCTATTAAATTAAGGATTAATGGTCATCTACTTCATGCGTTTCCAGTAAGTGAAATGTGCTCATTTGTGAAGAAATTGGAGGCAAGTATATTGAAAATGCAACAAAAATGTTTTGACATAATGTTTTTTTTCTTATTTTACAATTATATAATGTATTTTTAATTTCATTTTATAAATGCAAGCACTATAATTTTTTTTACCGAGATTTAGATCTAAATTTAAAATTAATTTTAGATTTAGATTTAAACAATATACATGAGGAAATAGAAGGGAAACTCATCAAATTTGCAGACAACACCAAGCTGGCAGGAATAGCAACACCCCAGAAGACAAGCTCAAGATCCAAAAAGATATTGACAGACTTAAAAGCTATTCTTTGACCTAGAACAATTATCTAATTATGGGCCATTTTCAAATATTCCATTCTTGGATGGGTGATTGAGGAAATTATGGCCTTGTATCTCCAAATGTACCTTGATGAAATTGATTTTCTGGACCTATTTCAATCAAGATTTCATCTAAGGTTTTGTATTGAGGCTGACCTTTGGTAGGTG